TTAAACAGAAATGGAATTCAAGCGCTGCCCGCTTTGACAAGATCAAACAGGTAAAAGCAGGTATACTTGATATAGGCTACGCCGAAGTTGGACCTCAGAGCGGTCGTACCGTTATTCTGCTTCATGGCTGGCCATACGACATCCATAGTTTTACTGAATCTGCAGCTATATTGGCAACAAAGGGTTTCAGGGTCATTGTACCACACCTGCGTGGCCATGGCAGTACCACATTCCTGTCTTCAGAAAGCCCCCGCAACGGTCAGCAATCTGCCTTAGCACTGGATGTGATTGCATTGATGGACGCCTTAAAAATCAGTAAAGCCATTATCGGAGGTTTTGACTGGGGTGCCCGAACCGCTTGTATTGTGGCCGCCCTATGGCCGGAACGTGTTCAAGCACTGGTATCCGTAAGTGGTTATCTGATTGGCAGCCAAAAGGCCAACGAGATGCCGTTATCGCCTAAAGCAGAACAAGCCTGGTGGTACCAGTTCTATTTTGCTACCGAGCGTGGTCGTATGGGTTATGAAGCGAACTGGCATGATTTTGCAAAGTTAATCTGGCAAACTGCTTCGCCGAAATGGCAATTTGAAGATGCCATATTTGAACGTTCAGCGGCATCACTCGACCATCCGGACCATGTAGCAATTGTGATCCATAATTACCGCTGGCGACTAGGTCTTGCGGAAGGAGAACCGCAATACGATGTGCTTGAAAAACAACTGGCCACTGCTCCTGTCATCAATGTTCCTGCAATCACGCTTGAAGGAGATGCCAATGCTGCCCCACATCCGGATCCCTCCGCTTATGCGCTAAAGTTCAAAGCCAGGTATAGTCATCGTAACCTTAGTGGAGGTATTGGACATAACCTTCCGCAGGAAGCTCCGCAAGCCTTTGCCGATGCCATCATTGAAGTTTCAAACTGGACAAAATAATCAAATCAAACTCATAAATTTTAAATACAATGGAATCTCAAACAGTAATCACTGCAGCTGGTGCTGCAACAATCAGTAAAGTTTTATACACCGGAAAAGTACTTGTTACCGGAGGTCGTGAAGGAGCAGCAAAGAGCTCAGATGGCCGTTTGGAAATCAGCCTTTCCAGTCCGGGAACCTCAGGTATAGGTACCAACCCCGAGCAGTTGTTTGCTGCAGGATGGTCTGCCTGTTTCATCGGGGCAATGAAGCTCAATGCTTCCAGGTTACAAATATCACTACCTGTGGAAACCTCGGTGAATGCAGAGGTAGATCTGGCAAGTGGCGACGAAGGTTATGCCCTTCAGGCAAGGCTAGAGGTCAATCTGCCTGGACTCACAGCAGAACAAGCCAGAACAGTTGTTGAAGCCGCTCATCAAACCTGCCCCTATTCAAAAGCCACACGTGGAAATATTGGTGTAGCGATCAGTGTTACGATTTAATCGCCATTCCGTAAAACAGCAAAGAGAACCCTGACCATCGTCGGCTTCTCTTTGCTGCTCAGACCTGACCTAAACTGCTTATTCAGTCCTGACCCTCGTACGATCAAAATATTTATCAATACATTAGATGAAACTAATTTTCAAACCTGACATTGAACTAAACCACCTCATTATTGATGAAGAAAACAGGCTTTAAGATTTCTCATACCATCATCTGGACCAGTTCAATCGTCCTCGGACTGCTGTCTTCCGTACCACAACTGGCCTCACGTCAGTTTAACGGCTTAGAAGCGGCTGTTAATGCCGGCATCACTGCGGTCTTTGCGGTGATGATGTGGTATTTCAATATTTACATGCTTTCAGGCAATGGCGACAAAGCCCGTAAGCAAACTATCTCCTACGGAAAACTCCTCAAATCTTTACTTTTTGGACTGGTCATCATGTTAGGACTGGCTTATCTGCAGCAGCTTATTCTTTCCCATATTGATTTCGGACCGGTCATGCTCATGGTGGAGGTTCGGGGAATCCTGATCAACCTTGTGTTTTACATGTTCCTGAACCTGCTTCAGCAGAACTATGAGAACCAGCATGTAAATATGGAACTGGAGCGTACCAGAAATGATAACCTGGGTGCACAATATGAGTTGCTCAAGCAGCAGGTCAATCCTCATTTTCTATTCAACAGCCTGAATACCTTAAAAGCAATGGTAGAAACCGGGGATCAGCAATCCGTGGATTTTATCCTGAAACTTTCCAATTTCTACCGCTATACCCTGGAAAGCCGCAAGCTGGATCTGATCCATGTCAAAGAAGAAATGGAAATCCTTGAGGCTTACCTCTTTTTACAAAAGGCCAGATTCGACGAAGGCTTTACATTCAATAGCACACTGGACAGCAAAGCATTAGAGACACTCATCCCTCCTTTTACTTTACAACTATTGGTAGAAAACTGCCTCAAGCACAATATTGTTTCCCTGCAAAGACCCCTGAAAATCAGGCTATACCAGGAAGGCGAAAAGATCGTAGTAGAAAACCAGATACAGCTAAAAACCGGTGAGGCAGGTTCGCTCGGCGTAGGCCTGAAAAACATAGAACTCAGGTATAGCCATTTGTTGGACAAACAGGTAGAGATCATCAACGACAGCATCACATTCCAAATTAAACTCCCCATCATCTATGAACATCATCATCATTGAGGATGAGCTAAGAACAGCAAAATCTCTCGAAAATATCATCCGGGAAATCAGGCCGGAAGCCAAAATCACCGGCCCCTACCAAAGTATAGAAGCATCGGTTTCGGCGTTATCAGAAGGCATTCAACCCGATTTGATTTTTATGGACATCCAATTGGCCGATGGTCTCAGCTTTGAAATATTCAAATCTGTAAAAATCACCTGCCCGATAGTATTCTGTACCGCCTTCGACGAATATTCACTCGAAGCTTTTAAGGCCAATGGAGTGGATTATGTGCTCAAGCCCTTCTCCAAAGAAGACATTGCCGGTTCTTTTAAAAAGGTCGATGAGCTGAAAAATTTCTTCCAGCAAAAGCAAATTCCGGATTTGGCAGAAATGCTGATCAACATTGTTCAACCTACAGAAAAAACAAGTTTTCTGGTATTCAAGCATCAGAAATATACCACGGTACAAATTGAACAGATTGCATTTTTTTATATCCGCAACGATTCCACGTCCATCATGTGTTTTGACGGACAGGAGTTTGCACTGAACCAGGCCCTGGATCAGGTTGCTGCTGCAGTTTCCTCAAAACAGTTCTTCAGGATAAACCGCCAGTACCTGGTCAACTTTAAGGCAATCAAAGAAGTGGAGCATTATTTTTTACGCAAATTGTATGTTAAGCTGCTGATTGAAACGCCAGACAAGTTGCTCATCAATAAGGAAAAGTCGCAGCTATTTCTCGCCTGGATGGAAAACCGGTAGGTAAAAAAATCAAAAGTTATGAAACCAATCCAGATTTCGATGATAGCTGCGCTGCTTGCGCTCCTATTGTTCAGCGCGATTTTAGCCAGCAGAAGCATTGCTTCAAAATCATCAATAGAAAGAACCATTAAAGGAGATGGCTTTGCCGTTCTTGAACTGTTTACCTACGAAGGTTGCTCGAGCTGCCCGCCGGCAGACGAGCTTTTGGCTAAAGTCCAGAAAGAAGCAGGCAACAGACCGGTATATGTTTTGACCTATCATGTTGATTACTGGGACCGTTTAGGATGGAAAGATACCTTCAGCAATGCTGATTATTCGAAACGCCAGTATCAGTATGCCAGCAAACTCAACGCCCAGGTTTATACCCCGCAACTGGTGGTTAATGGCAAAACTGAATTTGTAGGTTCCAACGAATCCGCAACAGACTATGCGATCAACAGCGCCTTAAAAGGCAGTCCAAAGTCCTCCGTAAACCTACATGGAAGTCTGCAATCCGGTAAAATGGCAATAGACTATCAGGTAACAGGAGATACTGACAACGATGAACTCGTGATTGCAGTAGTACAAAAAAACGCGATCAGCAGGGTAAAGCGTGGAGAAAACGAGGGACGAACATTAGCGCATGCGCAGATCGTCAGACAGCTTTATTCATTTGATTTGGAAAGCGCTAAAAAGGGCCAGGTCAGCATTTCGCTTTCCAAAGATTTCAATACCGATGGATGGGAGCTGATCGGCTTTCTTCAGGATCCCAAAACAAGGGCTATCAATGCTGCGACCAAAGTTATCTTTTAAGAATTGACACATTATTCTCTATCCATTTGTATAAAAAATGCCCCGTTCAGCGAT